AAAAAAAAAAAAAAAAAAAAAAAAAAAAAAAAGAAAAGAAGATGGGGCACAACTACTAAGTCAAGCTCATCATGGCTTTTTGAGATGATTTTTAGATTTAGGTTAGGAGAGAAAGAGGGGTTAGTTTTTTCTCTTTTTTTATTTTTTTTTTTTTTTTTTTTTTTTTTTTTTTGAGCTTGGCGTTTTTGAAAATAAAAGTAGAATTACATTACATTATTGATTATATTGTTTAGTTAGACTTTTTTTTTTTTAACAATATAATGTAATTGAGATTACATATGTAATCTTCATTTACTTAAATTGATGTAATATTTATTACATAAAAAAATACATGTATTGTCCTACATCAAGCACATGTAATACTAATTAAAACTCTACCACTACCACAATTACTCAACCATCACTACCACCATCATTCGACCAACATTCCACCATCCCCACCACCACCCCCACCATTTCTCCACAACCACCACCACTCCATCACCATTATCACTCCACCACCACCATCACCCCACCACTATCGCATCGCTGCTGCTGCTCCACCATCACACCACCACCTACTCTATCAGCACCACGTCAACCACCACCACCACTGCTCCACCACCACTCCTCTATCACCATCACTTCAACCACTTTACCACGACCACCACAACCACCACTCTGCCACCGCATAATAAAAATTATATTTTAGTTTTTAATATGCAATACCTAATAAAAATTATATTTTATTATAGGGATGAGAAGAATAGAATGAAAAAGCACTAAAAATATAAAAAATGCCCATAATTTTATATTACAATTTAATTTATTCAATGAAAATATATGAAAACATTAATTTCTAATGACTTTAATTTTTATCTTGTTATATTGATTTAATTTATTCAATGAAAATATATGAAAAAATCAATTTCTAATGACTTTAACTTTTATTTTGTTGCATTACATTACCTTCTTTTAATTTTTTTTAATTCAAATAAATTTATAAATCTAAATGGTCTTTAATAGCTTAATATAACGAATAGCTTTTGGTTCAAATATTTATTTTGTATTAATAATGATGTGGTGGTGGTGGAGTCGTGTTTGAGGCAATGGTGGTTGTGGTAGTGGTGGTAGTGGAGTGGTAGTTGTGATGGTGGCGGTGGTGATGGTTGGTGTAATGAGTGGTGGTATGCTAATTACATTACATATTTTCAAATAAACATAAAAAAAGGAATGGTGATTACATTCAATAAATTTTCTCACTTACATTACTAAACATAGTAATAGAATCTTGATTACATTCCATTATATTACATATTTCAATGCATTACATCTTTGATTATATTACATTTTTCATAGTCTAAAAGAAAAACAGAGTAAAAGCTTTAATATAAGTTAATGGCAAACGATTTCATTAACAGGGAAAATACTTTCATTAATGGCATTTTCTAGTAAATTACCAAAATAATTTTACAACAGTTAAATACATTACATATTTACTGTCATTTAAATTAAACCCTGAAATTTTAAGATTAAAAATTTAATGTACTACAATTTTTCCCTTAAAAAATTTTGGTTTTTTAAAATTCTAAAACTCATACCAATAAATCTATTGCTGGCAAGACTCCTTTGAAGCTTGAATTGGAGTTAAGCCATTTGCCAAGCACTTATCAGTAGAGCCATCAAGATAGATGAAGAAATTTTTTTTTTTTTTTTTTTTTTTTTAATATTATTTTTTTTTTTTTTTTTTTTTTTTATTAAAATATGGACAAAATTATAAGAAATGAAGCTATCGAATCTTCTGCAACACAAAATCTTCTTAAAGAAAGACGACTTGGTTGCTCTTAGAATAAGTAAGATTGAAGAAACATGTGATGGCTTAGACTCTCCCATCTCCCATTCTGAAAACTAAATCTCTTATTGAAATTTATGAGAATGCAATGCAGCATTCTCTGACCCTATAAGCAATATGAAGCTGGCTTCAAGTTATGAGAGCTAAAGTGTACAAGCTGCACAAAGCTCTCTACGACCTCAAACATGCTCCAAGAACATGGTACAGCAGAGCTGTTTCTTACCTCTTGAATCAAGAATTTACGATGAGTCACAGTGACACAACTCTTTAAATCAAATTTTCGTATGATAGTAACACATTATTGGTTTCTCTCTATGTAGATGATTTATTGGTAACCAAAAATAATAATGAGTTATTGAAGAATTCAAGCTGGAGATGGAAAAAGAGTAGAATGACATCTTTATTTTGCAAAGGAAGTATGTTATGGACATCTTTAAGAAACTTAATATGCAAAGTTGCAAAATGGTGGCCACTCCATTAATTATAAATGAAAAATTGTCCAAAATTGATAGTGTGAAGCAATGCGTCACCTTATAGAATTCTAGTTTGCAGTATTATCTAACTAACTTGATTTAATATTCATTGCAAATGTACTTTCTAGATTCATGCAAGCTCGACCTCAAGTGCATTTCAGTGCTGCAATCTTAAGACTGGAAAGGTGCTGCCGATCCTGGTGTGCGGTATTCCAGTAATGAAGAGTGCAAAATTTTAAGGATATTGGACTGGTTGTTTAGAATATACGAAAAGCACAACCGCTTACTTATTTTCCTTTGGTTCATTAGCCTTTTATTACTTATTTCTGAATGTGGGTGTTCTTTTCTTATTGAATATGTATCGGATGGCCCAAATACTCCGTTCCAAAAAAAAAAAAAAAAAAAAAAAAAAAAAAAAAAAAAAAAGAATGGCCCAAATGCCGATGTAAAATCATTATAATAATTGGGTGTAGAAAAAAAAAAAAAAAAAAAAAAGATGGCCCAAATGCCGATGTAATCATTTATATATATGGGTGTATGAAATTTGAACTAGAAGATGATATTCGGTTCAAAAAATCAAATTAACCTGCGTTCGACAAATGTTCAAGTAGGTTTTTGCATTTTGACAATGATAAATGCTATTTTTTATAATATTCACTAATATTGCTTTGAACTAACTTTTAAAAGTTAATATATCATTTTATAAAAAGTAACTCATGTAATGTTTAGCTTTAACGTTTTTAAAAAAAGTTATTGAGATAACTAACAGCTAAATATTATTAAAATAGCTAAACAGCTATCAAAACAATTAATTTCGCTAAATAGACCTTTAATACTTTTCATATTATTCTCTACTCCTATCAGGCGTTCACGTTGGATTGAACTGTGTTTTGCGTGAAGGACTTTACATGCATTGGTTATGTGTGTTAGAGTGGATGCTTTCTAAAGGGACCGCCCCGAATCAAGTATCCGCTCAAAATGCACTGCCCAAGCTCGTTCCGAACCTATTTAGAAATTTATTTTAATACCTGAATATGTCTCAAATCCGATTATAATTACCGGTTAAACATTAAAAATAATTTTTATTTTCATTTTTTTAAAATAAAAAGTAAAAATTATAAAATTATTATTTTAACTCAATAAAAAAATATAATTATAAATACTATACAATTATATACATAATACATATAAATTTTCTTTTAAAAAATAATTATTTCAAATATTTTTGAATATTTATTAAATGGGCAGTGAATAGCAGAGTCCTTAAACCCAAATCTAATACATATAATAATAATATTATCCAAACGTATCCCAAATTCATTTATTCATTACTTGAATCTGCTAAAATCAGATCGAGTAACCGCGGGATCGGGTAAAATTACCATCTCCAGCCTTCTGGGAAAGTATGGTATTTTGGTACATGGATTGGTTGGTACTGATTTTCGGGCTTGGTATTGTTCTTTAATGGATGAAATGTTTTGGTCTGGAAGGGTACACTTACTCCACATTATATGATAAGCAACTCAGCCATTCGTTATTTACAAGAATAATGGAAGGAGGCTCATGTTAATGAAGCCTCGTCTCAGGTGACTAGTGGTTCAATGGCTGTGCCTAAAGGTGGCTACTGCCACGAGACAGCAGCTAGCTCCTATGCTAGTCTCCATATTTGATCTGAGCTTACATCGAGGCCCTTATCGTTAATGATTTTCAGTTAGTTTAATAATGCGGTTTCCCTGAATATATAAATATATCAAATCATTCTACTAATAACAACCATTATTTAATAAGAAATTTGAAATAAATAATCTCAGTAAGATCAATCTTGACTCATATTCAATCAAATCCAACTTAATTTTGAATCATCTGCTAAATTTATGTACTTCAAGTTCTTGACTTCTTATTAGTTTGAAGGAGAGAATGAGCCTGTTCGTGTACCTATCATTGATTTTAGTGGGTTTCCTTGAATAAAATCCACTGAAACAACAGCTATATATTTATATAAGCAATCAAACCAAACAGTTGGAATAAATTGCCAACAGCTAATGGCCAATCCAAACAGGCCCACAATAGGTCTCAAATGGAGATATCTATTGCTCATCGTTAGGGGTGGGTGGAAAAGTTTCAACTCTACTTGAGAAAAGTTCAAAAAAAATTCAGCTCAAATCAAGCTAAGAGTTTAAATGATATTCAGCTTGAAAGTTCGCTTGAAAGTTCGTTAAGCTCTATCGAACTTGTATATATAATATTTCTTCTAAATTTATTCGAGCCGAGTTTGAGCTTAAATTTGTTTGTGTTAAACTCGAGCCTCGACTCGAACTCAAAGCCTAAAACTTTCTGGCTCGTTGAATTCCAAGCCAAACTTGAGCCTGATAGGTTCATGCTCGACTCAACTCATGTATACCCCAATGCATCGTTTTCCCCCTCATTTTCATCAATACTAATGAAGATTGGTCATGGAAACATAAGCATTCTCTCGTCTTTCATTTTGTTTTTTATATTGGTAGTGTGATGCTATAATTCTCTCATCACCAATAAACTACAAAATGCTTAGAGCAAAAGCGTGCTAAAAGAACCAAACTTAAAGACTCGGCATGAGATTAAAATAATTCAGCTACTTCACTTGAAAGCAAGCATATATATGAGACGAAGCCTATATATAACTATCCAACTCTTCCTCCTCCTCCATCCATCTACTCTAGATTCAAATATCAGATATCTAGATCCAAATGGCTCTCTCAGTTTCAAAGATCTCCTATTTTGCCTTGTTTGCATCTCTCTTCATCTGTTTGGTTGTAGCTCACGATTTTTCAATAATGGGTTACTCGCCAGAGCACCTGACATCCATGGATAAACTCACTGCGATATTTGAATCATGGATGTCGAAACACGGCAAGACCTATAGAAGCATTGAAGAGAAGCTACATAGATTTGAAGTTTTCAAAGATAACTTGATGCATATTGACCACAGGAACAGAGATATTACAACCTACTGGCTTGGATTAAATGACTTTGCAGATTTGACACATGAAGAGTTCAAAAGCAAGTACTTGGGATTGAATACTGAATTTCCTAAAAGAGGAACTTCTTCAGACTTCACTTACAGAGATATAGTAGACTTACCTAAATCCATTGACTGGAGAAAGAAAGGAGCAGTCACTTCAGTAAAAAATCAGGGCTCATGCGGTAGCTGTTGGGCATTCTCAACAGTTGCGGCTGTAGAAGGCATAAACCAGATTGTAACAGGAAACCTAACTTCACTGTCGGAGCAAGAGTTGATCGACTGCGACACCAGCTTTAATAATGGCTGCAATGGAGGACTCATGGACTATGCATTTGAATACATAATGAACAATGGAGGACTCCACAAGGAGGACGACTACCCATATCTAATGGAAGAAGGCACTTGTGACGAAAAGAGGGTAAAGTGACATCAATTAACAAAAAAACATTATTTTATTAGTGATAAAAATGTTGCCTAATATTTCTTTCTTCTTCAGGAAGAGATGGAGGTAGTGAGTATTAGTGGTTACCATGATGTGCCAGAAAATGATGAAGTGAGTCTGTTGAAGGCTCTAGCTCACCAACCTCTTAGCGTAGCTATTGAGGCTTCTGGAAGAGATTTCCAATTCTATAAAGGAGTAAGCATATAGACATATGTGACCACAAGTATTATAAAATTTCATAGCCCGCATATTCCGAACATTTCCTTGACAAAACTGGGTATTGGTTTTGCAGGGGGTATTTACTGGACCTTGTGGAGCCGATCTAGATCATGGGGTAGCAGCAGTTGGATATGGAGCATCAAAAGGCCTAGACTACATCATTGTGAAGAACTCCTGGGGACCAAAATGGGGTGAAAATGGATACATAAGAATGAAGAGAAATACAGGAAAACCAGAAGGGTTATGTGGGATTAACAAAATGGCTTCATATCCTACCAAAAAAAAGTGATCGAATGTCAACAATAAACAATTTCCTTTCTTTTCTTTTCTTTTTTTTTCCTCAAAACTGATCATTGCTTCATTAGATGGAATTTCCATGTTAACCTTTGCCATTGCTATCTATCAATAAAATGAGATGAAATTCACATTGAAGAGCTACTTGTCCTTGTTAGAAATAGAGAATGGCAACTGATGTGAGTGAGCATGCAGGCACAAGTAACCACAGATGAACATACACACAAATTGCAATATCAATTATCTCTAACAGATATCATAGTGAAAAAACAGCACCTTAACTGCGTGCAAACCTAAATGTATATAAATTATAGAAAAGGGAAATGTACTAATCAGTTTTTGAGATTCTTTATTAATCAAATGAATGGACCTTTTAGTTCATAGATTTAAAAAATAGGTGATAAAGACCTAAAATATGTGCATATTGAATGATTGGCTAAAACAAATGGGTTAAAAGTACAGATGAATAAAAATTATTAACAGAAAATTTCATTATACTTGAAAACGCAATCATAAAGCCGTCCCCCAAGAAACTGAGCAACCTCTGGATGTTTCACCTAATTAAAAAGGGCAGGGAAAGCAAAAAAAGAGATCAATGAAAAAATCAATCAAATCGTACAAGTCAATGCCCATTGATTTATACTCATACGAAAAAGAAAAGCATATAACCTAGAGAGTTACCATTCCAATCTTCAGAGAATCACACTTAAACTGAGCATAAAGATTCGTCTCTATACCACGACCCTGCCAAAAGAAACAAATGTTTTAAGTGCAAAAATGTTGGAGAAGTCCACATTCTAGAGACTGCTTATTTCAATCATAACCATAGATTAGAAGTTGTTTATCCTGCCATCTAATTCTGGTTTCCTTGGTTAGCCAACAACAATTAAATCCCATTTGCCATTTATCACTTCTACATGAGAACCAAAGTTATCAATACTCAATACCATTAAGATATTATGGATTTTTTCATTGGTGTAAGATATTTCAGTTTTGATGCAATAAAATATTTCATTTTCAAAATCATTAGTGAAATATTACTTAAAATTATGGGCTAATAGCTTTTTTTTTCTCATATCAATTATAAATGAATACTTCAATGCTGGGATCAATTATAACCAATCTAGAGGAGATGCACCAAAATAATGGTAATATGGATTATAAGTAAGATAAAATATTTGCTAAAATGATATATTTCAATTAGTATAATATTTAATAATCATAAATTTGTAAAAATATCACTAAGTTAAAAAAAATTAGAACAGAAAAGAAAAGTTTTTTCCTTTTTCTAATATTATGCCAAAATTTAGCCTACATCAAAACATGGACCTTTTCTGCACACTCCTCTTCTGGGTTGCCATAAATAATACCAAGTAGGCAAACAAAATTGTTAAAGAAAAAAAATTCATAATTGTTGATCCAAAGTTCTTTACTTTTCAAGGTCGTTAGCACTAAAATTATCCAAATAACTTATGCAAAATTTTACCCATATTAAGCATGAAGGAACTTAATTAGTCATCGCAGCCTGTTTCAGATCTGGTGGGATATATCTTTAAAGGAAATAGAAGATAACAAAATAGAGAAGTTATTAGAAAAAGAAAAAGAAATAAAGAAAGAAGTCAAACCATTTTACTTTTTATTAATTATTAATATAACTGACTAGTTTACTTCTTTTCAAGGAAGTTCTTCACCTCGCATTTCTACAAGTCTCTCTCTCTCAGATTGTACCCTAACACAAGGAAAAAAAAATTGCAGGTAGCAAAGGATTTTTTGAATGTTTGGGTCTATATCGATTAGTATTTGGATAAATTCGTTTGCTTATGCTTTCTTTCAAGAAGGAATTCAAGGGCAACAAATCATATTCACTGGAGGAGAAATGAACATAGCAGTTGGCAGATTATTGATCCATGCGCATGGATGAATTGAAGTTGTAGCTCCTTCGTGAAACTTCTGAATATCCTTGTGGTTCTGCTAGATTTGTGTGAACAATGATATAAGAACTTTTGGCTAGGAAGGAAAATCTCAATATATATTGCGGATTTCTTAATGTGGAACGGACGAATTGCAAGCCGGTTCTTTGTAATAATTTTTTTGCAGAAAATGGGGATGCCAAGTGGTATTCCCATAGCGGATGACTTTTCTATGAGTCTTTTGAGAAATGGATAGCAAAGTTCAGAATTTCTAGTTTGAAATGGCTTTTCCTATACCGCTCACCCCATGAAACGAGTTATATTTTGGCAATAATAGAGAAGCCATGAACTTTGGCTTTATGAAGGAAAGGTAGGAACAGTTCTGTAAGTTGATCCAGAACTCACGGTTACGAATTGAGGAATAATTTAAGGAGCAAGGATGGATATGGCGTATATGTCGCTACGTGGTGAGACCTAACGCTCTAGGCCTTGAAAATTTCAGATATTTTTGAAGGTGTATTAGAAGATCGATTGGAATTTACTCAGGTCTGTAGCTTATAGGAAGGAAAATTAGAATTTGTGGACGTCTATCATTTGTTACTTCTTCCTTGTCAGTAGAGCAGATGTCATACTAAAAATTTGAGAAACCTCATTGAACCTTCTCTTGGTTCCACATGGAAATTGGTATGTATCTAGAGGGTATTGAGCTATATCTCCTTCTACCCACTTGGGCTAGAGAGCCCGAGGCCTCTCCTCTCTCTCTCTCTCTCCGTCTCTCTCTCTCTCTCTCTACTTTTCCAGCTGGAAGAAAGAGAGCCATGTTCTCATATTCAGTCCAATCCACCTTGTTCAATTGAGTAAATCAAGTGTTTATCTATGCATGTACACATGTATTTCCTAAGCTCATTGAAATTTCATGTTGATCCTTTCCAATTTCTGTTAGTCCACTAGTCATCAAGACCACATAAAAATATGTTGAATAATCCAGTAATTTGTAAAAAATAAACTCTACTAAAGCTTCTAATACAAAAACATTAGCATACATAAGAAAAAGTTGTTTTCTTTTTCACTAAATATTATATCCAAATTTATAGCCCTACATTTATCAAAAACATTTGGACTTTGCTTAGACTTGACGCATCCACCTGCTCCTCTAGGGAAATCACCACACTCCCTTCCTCTAATGAAAAGATATCATAGACACCATTTGTTTTCACTGCTGATATCTGGGTGCCATATTTCCAATAACTTACCAATTTACGGTTAGTTGCTTTCAAACGAAAATTGTTAATGAGAAGAAAAAATTCATAAATTGTTGATGCATTTACTGAAGTGACAAAATTTCCTTTACTTTTCAAGGTCGCACCAACTTTAAAAAAATCACTTTCTAAATACTACGTGTAACTTAATGCGAGTATACACTCTAAGCCAGGCAATGCTTAAGCATGATAGGTAACGTTGGAGAATTATCCATAGATATCGAGCCATGTTATCAAGATCTTGGTAGGGATAAATGAGACTTACATAAAGGAATAGCAAGAGTAAACGAAATAAGAGAAGTTTATAATAAGAAAGAAAGAATAACAATGAAGCAGAAGCTTCAGAGACCCATTATTTTGACTGTTCTATTAATTTATTAAATATTATAAACTGATCTAGTTTACTTCTTTTCAAGAAGTCTTCACCTTCGCATTTCTACATTAGTCCTTCTTCTACTACGTCACGTTCACTTCCTCTTCTACTTTACTCTCTCTCTCTAAAGAAAGAAGATCATAACCGATTTCTCACTTTTTATTATGTGAATTCTAGAGATAAAAATCTAAAATAAGAAATATTGATGATAACATCTGACTAGTTTTACTTTTCTTATTCACGAGAAGTCATCTTCACACACCTCAGAGCCTTCTAACATAAAGTCTGCTCTCTCTCAGATCTCACGGACATAAACACTGGCTTCAATTGGGTTACTCTCACTACTCTCACCCTTAAAGACATAGAAGTTACAAACTCCAATTTTTACTATTTATTAAATTATTAATATAACTGAGACTCGTTTTACGTCTACTCTTTTCGAAAGAAGTCTCTTCACCTCTAGCCAATTTATCTCATCAAGTCTGCTCTCTGCTCTAGCCTGTGCAGTAGTAAATTGACCAAAGCAAATGAGTCTGGCGAACTGATGGCCCATGATTCCCGTGCTACTTTGGCATTGCTACTGGAAGTCCGTACATCTGTACTTGAAATCATCCCTTATTGTCAGTATTTTACATAAGCTTTAAAATACAAGAAGGCTATGGCCTAGGAAATGATTGCAACTTTTATAATCAAGCCAGAACAACATACTTCCGGTAGTAGCATGTTAAACAGTGATTAGTTTTAGCCCAGTTCGGAGACAATACACTACAGATACGTCACAATTATTTACATACATCCAAAAAGAAAGCATTGACGCGCAAGGCCAATACGCAACAGAGATTGATAACTTCGACTATAACACTGTTATCAAACTTTGTACCCAAACCAAAGCCTTAAGAGACAAATTGGCACCACGCTGCCTTCATATTGATAATTTTGAAAAGAACTTACCATACCCTTGCAATATTACCTAAGTAATCTGGTCGTCACTCAAGATAGAAGATCAAGTGGCGTAGGCTTATGTGATACCCTGGTATCTTAAAGATCAATAATCCTGTCCAAATGGTAGTCAGAAAAACCACAAAAGAGCTCATATACATAGAGTACATGCAGCATAAGAAGAAACCCAAATAACATGTCAGTAATTAGTGAAAGCTTACTATGATCCACACTCACTGAGTGATATCATAGTAAAAAGACAGAATTAGACCATTCCTTAAACCGAGCGAGGACTGAGAAGCACTTAAATATCATTTCCGCGGAATTAGGCAAATTCAACAGATTTTAGAGGCATCTACAGGGCCCAATAAGCTGCAAAAGTCATGACATGAAGTCTGTACCACTTCCATCTTTTCAACTAGAAAACTAGGCACTATTATTAAGTCAGAATAATAAACCACAGATCACAACAGCAGCCATTAAAGCTTTAAAGAGTTTGTTCTATTCTTCTCACCACCCTGCATATAATCTCAATCAGTTTCAAGGGTAAGGTGACATCTATTAATAAGATAGGCAAGGTCACTAGCAGCCAAATATTAAGACACCCATGCAAACAGGAGACAGGACAAGAACAAGATATAATTTTTAAAGAAAGAAGTCAAACCATTTTACTTTTTATTAATTATTAATATAACTGACTAGTTTACTTCTTTTCAAGGAAGTTCTTCACCTCGCATTTCTACAAGTCTCTCTCTCTCAGCCTTGCAGTAGTAATTGACCAAAGCAAATGAAGTCTGTGTGCCCATGATATGTACTGTGATGCCACTGGAGTAATTACTTAATCATCTTTTGTCAGTTTCTACAAAGCTTAAATAAAGATGCAGCCTAGATGATGCATATTTCAGCCAGAACAACATACTCGGGATGTTTAAAACAGGAAATAGTTTAGCCAATTCGAAACTAACGTCCCATTTTCATCACCAAAACAAGAAGCATTGACCACCAAGGCCAAAACCAACAAGATTGATAACTTTGACTAGAACACTTATCAAACTTTGTACCCAAACCAACTTAGCAATTGCCACGGCCTTTTCATATTGATAATATTTGATAAAGAACTTACCATCCCTTCCAATATTACTAGGTCTGCGTCACTACATAAATATGCTAGCTCTTGTGATACTCTTGTAAGATCAATAACCTGCCAATGATGGAAAACCCAAAAGAGGCTCATTACTGTACAGCTAAGAACACCCATCATTCAGTTAGTGAAAGCTACTTGTTCAAACTGTGATATAAGTAAAAAAAGACAGAATTACCATTCCTTACCGGTAAATCATTTCCGGAATTGGCAATCAAAAGATTAGAGGCATCTACACCAACAAGCTGTCCACTTCCATCTTTCAACTGAAAATAGGCACTTAAAGTCAGAAAAAACCAAGATCCAACAGCACCATAGCTTTAATAATTTTTCTTCCTCCCACCTTCAATATAATCTCAATCAGTTCAGGGTAAGTGACATCATTAATAGAAGGCAAGTCATTAGCAGCCAATATAACCTGCAAAGAGAAGGAAAGAACAAGATAAATTTTGGATTGGAAGAAAGCAAAAGGTGTTAATCAGTTGTTCTAGCAATTAGGTACTAAATTATTTTGTTCAAATGGCCAGACTGAAAAAAAAAGTGGAACAAATCATGGTTCAGTTTGGCTGACCTTCAAAAGGAACAGTTGATTTATAGTTTATGTATTTTGTTTGGTTTGCTTCAATAACAAAAACTGAATCATAGCAGACTGTATAAATATTTAACCAAAAACTGAATCATAGCAGACTATATAAATATTCGAAACCAATTCCTACATTTAGAATAGCCAAAGGGAATAGGATTGGTATGAACACATTCAAATGGAAATGGATTTTTGAATGCACATCAAAATTGGAGAACCAAAGATCAAATTGATGCATGTGATGAGACATGATACCACTTCCCATACATAAATAACATTGACTCAGTGCCTCTAAATATTCTAATATTCAAGGAATGTACAATGGCAATAGCGGTCATACTCAAACTAACAAAACACATATTTACAGTTTGCAATGTGCATAAACATTCAAAATACATTGCTCATTAACAACATTCTTGTAGGCAGAATTCTACACAAAAATCTGCGGTGCCTTGTTGCCTTTTTCTTATCCAGGCCAACCACAATTAGTTGAAGTCAGAAAGCTGAAATAGTTGATCTCCAGGTTTAATATAAATGCAGAATAGAAGCAAAAATTTGTTTTCTCACCATCCTATCCCCTAATTCTTTGATCTTTATATCACTGTTATAATCCCTCTTACATATTTTGAGGCCAAACTCTTCAAAAGAGGAGAAAATTATGTGAAATGCACTTACCCTCTCTATGGGCCAACACCCAGGTCCTATTTGTAATTCAAATCTATTTGGGAGAGAGGGATATATTCACAAACCTAAAATCCCTCTAGCGATTTGCTTATAGCAAATAATTTTTGCATTGTCATATTTTAAAATGTTCATTCAGTATCTTTGCTATTTTATTTATTTATATGAGGAGTATAGCTCTACGGCACTTCAATGGATCAGATCATTTTATGATTGAGAAACTAGCACTTTACCTTAATGTCATATAGCCTTCAGAGAGAGTTGAGTAAGTATAACAACCTTAAGAATTTCACTTATTGGCTTAATAACTCAAAGATACTTTGGGATCTATGAGCTTATTGAGTCACTTTAGTAGGTTAGAATGTATTTTTGAATGAAAAACTATAGGTAATCAAATGTGTGAACCCTTGAGAATGTCAATTATATGCTTAAAAACTTAAAAAGGAAAATAGGAGATTGAATGTCCTAAATAAAATGACTCTAGTATCTTGAAGAAACTTAAGAATTTTACTTGAGCATCTAGTGCATAGGGCATTGGGCATCCAATCATCTAAAATTCAAAATTTGTCCTTAACAGGTCCACAGCATTAGAAACAGAATTCTAGAGGATAAAATGTTTAAAGTGATTAAATTCATAGCACCAATTTTATCACATACTTTGCACCAGTATAAAATAGTCAGATCTTGACATGGACCATAACTATACCTCTTCTATATCCTGGAAACAGCTTTATTTAAGATTCATTTGGACATCCATTCAGTAATTAACTATTTCTGATGGCTGCTGAGCCGATTCGTATTTCACCTCTTTGGATCTAAATACTTTTCATTTACAGTTCTATGGTTGTGTCATTTTCTTTCAAGTTGAATTATTTGTAATGGCGGGTATAGCTTTTATTATTTGATAATTTACTCTCAATTGAGTCATCAAACATCAAAATTTACTTGGAACCCAGAAAGGCCAATTCTTTTTCCCATTTTATGGATATGTCATTGGCATATATCGCTATGCTTTGGCTGCGAACAGGATGATTGAATTCATTTTGAAGCAGAATTTTTCTTGGGTTTATTGACTAATGATATTTGTCAATGAGTATAGGTATGCATATACGAGAATTCAGCTCAAAATCGACCTAGTCAGGGTTTTTCAAAGCCAGTGTACTTCGATTGAAATTGAAAACAATGAATATTGCCTTTCAATAACTAAGTAAACATAGGCAAGATGTTAAATAACAACTATTGGACAACATTAAGATACTTCTTAAAGGTTTTTGGCCTACTAATAATATTTTGAGAAGAAAATTTGAGAATCACAAGTGCAACAGCTAATTATGGCCACTATGCGATTATACCCAATTTTTGCTGCTACTCATGTATGGTGGCTGTTACATTAACTGCTACCATCATTTGCAAGTTAATTATTAAAACAAAATCCAAAGTAGCAGAATACAAGTCCTTGGATCAGGTAGAATTTGGTCAGAAATTTACTGAAAACATAAAACAAACCTTGAAGTGAGTTGCAAAAAATGATATAAAACAAACCTGGGTTCCACGCCGAAGTAGCTCTCTTGCAAAGGGCAAAATACCCAAAATTATATCTGCTCCAGAATTATCAACAAAGATGACAGCCTGTTGTGACAAAGATCAAAAAGGAAAGTCGTGAGGAAAAATCCTGGAAAAAAAAAAGGTCCTAAACTCTCTTTTTAGATATGCCCAGTGACTACTTACAAAAGCAATATCACAAAAGAAATATCACATGGAACTTGCCTTTTTCCAAGATTTCTTGCTCCATTTCACTTTGAAGGTGTCTAGATCATCTATAACCCAGGGTCGAGGGACAAGATTTTGACAACTAGCCAAAAAGGACATTCCATCCCTTGAGAAAACCTCAGCAAGCTTCAAGAAATTGGAAATAATAGGTACATAAGAGAGAATGCTGAGATGAGAAATGATCACTCTTTTTCAATTACAAATTATGCAGTGAGCACTCGATTAACCAAGGTAATTTATATGCTTAAGATTAGAATTTACAGAAACTTACAGCATTTTGTTACATTAAAAAAATAAAATAAAACCATTTTCCTATAAGCAAGAAAAGGTGGTAATTTGAAGAATGAATGAAAGCTGTTGACATAAATCAAGCACAAACGAAACCCAAAAAAATGATATAAACATGAGCAGTATATATCAATGCTTTAGCAGACAGAAAATTGTACTAATTCAAGGTATCTCAAGGCAGAGGAAGACCAAAAAGTTAGGTGATTTAAAATGAGAGCGTTATGCATGATCCAAACAGAGAAAAAGCATTGTCAAGGTAAAGTCCTCCAGAACAAGTAGTTTAGATTTTTCTCCAAATGCAGTCATGAATTATATCCACCAGTCACAATGAGTTCATAATTTGCTAAAGATACAAGAACAGATTACAAAAATCATAAAATAATATCAACCAACCTGTGCAGAACCAAGGTCAAATATGTTTCCTGCAAATATTCCTTTAACCAGATTCTCTAGACGCTTGACTCCATCTTCAATAGCATCATTAAGACGAACAACATCCTCAAACAGAGATATAGCCTTTTCATTCTCTTCGTACTATTGCATCACAAAACAAAACATTTCTATTTTAAACAGAATGGAAAACACACCGCCACAGTTTTGATGAGAAAAAGACATTCAGAACGGCAGAAAGAGGGTGAAATCCCCGAATACTATCTCCTGTGCCAGAAGTAAAGTGTTTAAGTCAAGTATTTATAGTGATTGAGAGATATGATTCCTCTCCTCCCACTCAGGATTTGATGTTGACAAAAAAGAATTAAGAAGAATCAAGTTAAAAATACGCTTTCTAGCAAATGGGATCCCCTCTAAGCCCACAGTGTTAGTTCATTGACTTTTTTGAATATGAGGCCGAAAAAGAAAGCAGCACCAACCTTGACTTTTTTGAATATGTCTCTAAATCCCAATTCTCTTAGGATTTGCTCACGCAGTCTGCAGAGGAGCTACATTTCTCAAAAGAACCAAGCCAATGGAGAGAGATAATAATCATCAGATCGGATATCTTAAACTATGAAGAAAATCATCTTAAAATGTTAATGAAAGGGGAAATGAATCTAGTAATTTATCTTACAATACAATCAGGTGGACCACCATGACTCTCAGGATCTTTCTTCAAGTCCTCAAGGATCTCAGAATACCTTAAAAAAATCACAGAAACAGCACAAATCAGAATAACAAAGTCTTAAACAAAGTGGTGTAAATGTTGAAGGACATGTAATATCAATTCTAAAGATTACTAAAAAGTATTCAATGCATGTAAGGCATAATTAAAAAATGAACATTGAAACCAATTCTTTATTTGTTCCAAACTCAAATATCCCTTTGAATTCACTAGAATCATATTCATATCAAAATTCTTTTGCAATCAATAGAACCAATGGAACCGACTAAATCATAGTAAATTAGACTCATTTCAGAATTGAGACTCAATCAATAACATCAACATCCCTGGACTTGCTTAGAAGCAAAAATAAAAGCTACCTCTGAGCAAATTTCTCAGCTTTAGCAGGAGCATCAGTAACTGTAGTATCATTCTCAGCACGTTTCCTGCATAATATAAAGAGAGAGAATCACAAAAAAGAAGAAAAAAGAAAGTAAAATCGAGAAAGAAAAATAGAGAGAGAGACAGAGTACTTGAAGGAAGGAATGGAACTGTAGAAGAGATCAATCCATTGAAGCTCAGTAGGAGTAGCCTTTCTTGGATTGTCTGACGGGAACCTGTAAGGAATAGTGCATGCTCTGTAGTTGGATTCGATCGGAGTCATCAGCAACGGGAACGGTACCAACTCCGATGAGCTTTCCATTTTCGTTTTCTTTTTGGCAGAGAAGAATTCACAACTAATTCTTCCTATTAGAATATTTAATTGTAAATTAAATTGGGGCTTTGGGAATGAAATATTGCTCTCTCTAAGATGGATTTAGTATTTCTTTCTTTTGCGTTTAGAGAGATGTATAAATTACCCAAAAATTTTTGCTTTACGTTTTAGGACAAAACTACTGTCGTGAATAGCAATTCCTCGTGTTTTTTTTTTTATTTTTTTTTTTTTTCATAACACAGTAATTACTAAAAAAAATTGTTAAAAAATTTTATAGCATCGTTAAAATTTGCTTGGTTAGTTCACTTTTAGAATAATAAACTTTTACATTCTTCAATTATAGGGAAAATTATTATTTCATCCCTGAGGTTTTATATAATTATTTAAGTAGTTATCGACATTTATACATATATTTATAACGTCCATGAGGTTTGCCACCGTCATATTGATTGGTCCTCTCGTCAAAAAAATACACTTTTTCAATTAATTTTGAGAGGAAAAGATGAAATTATCCTTTGGAAAAATAATTATTTCGTCCCTGAGGTTTGCCATAATTATTAAGTAGTCCCCGATATTTATACATTCGTCTTGATGTTTGCCATAATTATTTAAGTAGTCGAATATTTATACAAATATTTATAACGGTCTCTGAGGGTTTTACTTCCGTCATATAATTGGTCTTTCCATAAAAATAAAAAATCAGCTTTTTCATTAATTTTGAGCGATAAAGATAAAATTATTCCTTTAATACAGAGTTTTCAATTGACAATTATTGTCATCTCTTTCCTTTAAAATACCTGAAACGTCAAAATTTTACCAATCCCTCACCCAACGCGATCTTCATTTTTGCATCAACGTGTCTTCTTGTCAAGTATCATTTCCATAACCAGATCACCAACAAAACTAAAAGGGAAAATAATTATTTCTTCGCTGAGGTTTGCCATAATTATTTAAGTAGTCCCCGTCATTTATACAAATATTTATAATATCCCTGAGATTACTTCCGTCATATTACTTGATCCTTCTGTCCAAAAAACACACTTTTTGCTGTTAATTTTTAATAGAATGACCAAATTAACCTAAATCATCTAATCAAGGAGAGAGAGATAAATGAATGAAGGGTGATGATGGCTTGATTGAGTTTGGATGTTGGGTTTTAGTTTTGGATGTTGGGTTTTAGTTTTGGTGGTGATCTAGCTATAGAGATGATAGTTTTCATTGACACGGTGGTGGCAATGAAGACCACGTTGGATTGAGGAAGATAGTGAAAATGTGAGTTTCAGATATTTTAGAGCAAAGAGATTAATAATAATGCCAATGAAAACTTATAAAGGATAATTTCGTCTTTTACACTCAAAATTAATGGAAAAAGTGTATTTTTTTTATGGAATGACCAATTAATATGACGGAAGTAAACCTCAGGGACGTTATAAATATTTGTATGAATGTAGGGGACTACTTAATAATTATGGCAAACCTCAGGGACGAAATAATTATTTTTCCAAAGGATAATTTCGTCTTTTCTTCTCAAAATTAAAGGAAAAAAAAATTAAAGGTAAAGAAAGTTGTATGTTTTTTTGCAGAAAGGACAATTAATAATGACAGTGGGCAAATAGGGACGTTATAAATAATAGTGTATAAATGTGGCAAACCTTAGGGACGTTATAAATATATGTATAAATGTCGATGACTACTTAAATAATTATGTAAAACCTCAGGGACGAAATAATAATTTTCCCTCAACTATATGATAAATGATTAGCTGATCTAATTTTGTGAATTGAAATGTTCAATAAAATGATTTTAGAAGTTAAAATATTTAATATACAATTTTATAAGTTTAAGTATTCGTTTTGTCGGGACAAGTTCAGAGATGAATTAAAACATTTGCTTGTTGTCATGCTACATGTACCAAGTTTAAGCGTAGTGTCGCTTCAATGATTACAATCCTAAAAAAGAATTGGATTGGTTTAGCTGAAACTGATCTAGTTCCAATTTCAACACAATTCCCCCTAGTTTCGAGCCTTTTTGTTTATCGTATTTGCATTTTTCCATGGAAATTATTAGGTTTAGCAAAAATGCAATTTCAAAACTAACACCCTAGATCAGCTCATTCTATCTATTTTTTCGATTGGGTCATTAAGAGGATTCATGAAAACAAAAAATAGAGCTAGCAACCCTTGTTCTCTATTAGCTACTATAATAGTAATTCTCAATTGTTTTACTAGTTGTTAGCTAAATGTTTAAAGGATATAATCAATATAAATAATAGAAATAGTATTTAACCCTAGTCAAAATACTAAAAATTACCTTTAAAACTATTGTAGAATAGGATCTTGAACTTTTTTTTTACTCCCTCCGTCCTTTTTATATAGCAAAACTTTCCTATTTGGGTTTTTTTTTTTTTATATAGGAAATATTGCCTTATTTGCTAACATTGAAAAAAAAGCCAATGTAAAAATCGCATATTACCCTTGTCTTATTTTATTGCGGGATATTATCAAGATAATGTTAGACAAAAATATATAGCGCATATGTGAAGAAATTTTGGTGATAAAATTGTTATTCTTTAAATTTACCTAGAAAAATAAATGTAGTCCAATTAAGAAAAACTGCTTCCTGACTGAGATAAAATTTGACTTTTAAAAACACAAAATTTAGAAATAGAGCACAGTTAAGATTTGCGATTTTACAATTTGGGCCAATTTTTTTGTGAAGTTACTCCATATTTAAATTATTTAATAGATACTCAAGTCTGTTGGAAGATTATCTGCGCACGAAATAGTCCTTTTCAAACACAACTTAAACAAAGAGGGACCAACAATAAGTTTCCCTCCAAAGGCAAGAGCATAACTAGGGTTTTTTTGCATCCATTTGTTTTCCTTTTTTAGTACAACCAAACAGCTTCAGTCAAAACACCATCAATCCAAGCCAATATTTTTAGCACCTCCCCATTACGACTAGATAGCAGTCGTCTCTTTTTCTTTGGTTGTTGTCATTCCACACATACAGAATGAGTCTTAGGTCTAAGAAGAAAGCCACAAATTCCAGCAAAAGAAAAACGACTAAAAATAAAAGAATCTCAACTACCGCTCCCAATGAGCGATTAGGCAAAACCAATGCCAAATTGAAATCAATCACCCAAAAAACTAAATTGTAGAAGCAAATCCCTCCATTTCTTTTTAGCAATAGTGCAGCAAATCCCGTTTATTTAGCAATAGTGGAGCAAAACCCTCTATTTTTTTAGGGAGACAATGCATTTATTGTCTTATTCAATCAAGAAAAATTATTAAAGGCAATTTTATATTTTAGAGGAGTTAATGTGATACTAGGGATGTATTAGAAAAAAAAGGAGAAAAATTTAGTTAACTGATTTCTTAATTTTGGTGAAAACTGTACCTATATAAAAAGAACGGAGGGAGTAATTTTTTTAAAAAATAACGGTTATATAATAGTTTAAATTTTGAAAAAGCTAAATAAACTATTTAACACTACATTTTTTTGTTTATAGCGCAGGTGTCCCTAGCCCATTGGACTAGTCCTTCATCCAATTCTTCTAATTCTTTTCAATTTAATAATCAATCATTCCCAACTGAAAAGGTATGTGTTGGTATTGCTGAACGTATATTATTACAAAAAAAAAAAAATAAAACATAGGAGATCCAGTTCTTTTCCCAAACTTGATAATTATCTTATCATTTCTTTCGAGTTTGGTGATAGTTTTGCAGATAATAATTTTTCAATTTTAGATTGGTAGAGTCGTCACGCCAATACATTCTCAACCCTTTCACTAATTGCAAAACATAGGAGTCGTACGCCTATACATTCTCAACCCTTTCACTAAATGCAACAACTAAGTTTTAGCAGCTCCGGTCTCCATTGTTGTTGGTTCTTGAACAAATTGCAAAACAAGTTTTAGCAGCTCCGGTCTCCATTGTTGTGGTTGAACAAGCTTTTAGTCAAGGAGGAAACATACTTGATGAAACACGATCTAGTATGACATTGATTCACTAGAAGCACAATCATGCATGAATGATTGGAGCAAGGCTGAACTAAGAACACAAGAGAATATCAAAGAAAATGAAGATTTATATGATCTTACGATGGGTCCTCAATGGAAACATCAACTGATAGTGGAAATAGCGACTAAGATAAAAGGGGTGAAATTGGTACAAGGTGAGTAAGAACTATGTATGCTTTGATTCCTCTAAACCTCAAGAGGATACGTAGACAACTTAATTTTTGAAAATAAGTTTCAACTTTTTTTAAAAAAATAAGTTCAATTTTTTTTTTAAAAAAAATAAGTTTCAACTTTTTTAAACAAAATATAAATTAAGTTGAAGACTTTTTTTTTAAAAAAAAAAAATTAAGTTCAAGCATTTTTTAATTTTTAAGGGTATTTTTAAAAAAAAAAATTATTTCAAAAATTTTTAAATTTTAAATTTTGAAGAAAAAATGTTCTATACTTTTTTATTTTACAATTATGCGATTTGCCGGAGAACCAGCCATAACCGTCGGTTTTGGAACCATTAAGGAACCGAAACTAGAACCGTAATCGTTTAGTCTCAAACCATAACCGAAACTATGAATTTCCGATTGGTTCCGGTTCCAAATTTTTTGAAACCGGAACCATTTGGAACCGGAACCGTGGCCACCCCTACTTATAGCCATTTTATATATTACATACACCTAGTTGGATACCATTTCTCTAAACAATTCATTTTTTCTGAATCTTATTTTTTGTAAATTCTTCTCTTCCTTATCATTATCCCACATGGATACAATCAATCTAAATGGGTGAATTCATTAGTTTGAATCATTACATAGAAATAGAAGTCTTTGATTTTGGTTGATATAAGTTCCTGTAATTTATTATTTATTTAAATTTGAAAATTTCTTTTTGATCAATCGTTGAATTGAATAAAAGGACTGAAATGGAAATGCCCTATAGAACCTCTTTTTTTAGTCACACGTTGTAAGCAAATAAAGAATTTTTGATGAATTACTATTTTCATTAACAACATTTAACCAGTCGGGCAATCATATGCTTCGACCTGCATTGAAGGTTGCACTATTCATTGAAGATAAAAGTACATCAAATCCATATGAAGTTTTACCGTGAGCAAATTGTATCCATTGGGCAAATATGGGTTCGATCAAGATTTGTTTCTCCAGAGTACCAAAAGCAAGCATAATATTATTATGAACATAAAGTCCCAAAGTATGGAATAAGTTCCCAAAAGTATTGGAAAAATATGGGTTCGATCAAGATTTGTTTCTCCAGAGTACCAAAAGCAAGCATAATATTATTATGAACATAAAGTCCCAAAGTATGGAATCCCAAAAAGAGGCTAGCCCAACTTAAATGGGATATGATAGCTTCTTTATAGTCTAACATTCTTGCCAATACATTATTCTCGTTCTATTATGGGTTGTAATCTCTAATAAAAAATATAGCTCCATGAGCAAAAGCTTCTATCATGATGAATCCTGCGATGTATTGGTGATGAGTATAGAATGTGGCTTGAGTAGTAAAGTCTTGCACTATGAATGCATAAACATGTAATGAGTACATGTGTTGAGCTACTAAGGAAGTAATAACCCCTAAAGAAGCTAGAACAAGGCCTAATTGAAAATGAAGCGAATTGTTGATTGTGTCATAAAGACCCTTATGTCCACTCCCCAATCGGCCCCTAGGAGGAATATGTGCTTCTAAAAGATCTTTTATACTGTGCCCAAGCTCGAAGTTAGTTCTACACATATGACCAGCAATGAGAAAAATAAATCCAATAGCCAAATGATGGTGTGCAATATTAGTCAACCATAAACTTTGTGTTTGTGGATGCAATAGAATGGCAGTTCCTGATCCTTGGGAGATACCAAATAAATGACTAGCTGAATCGGGATGATCTAGAAGGAGCAAATAGTAATTAAAATAGATAAATTCCAGTCTAATTAGCAAATTTTCAGTAACCATCTAAAAAATAGTGCTAATATAAATAATATAATAGTCGGTCTCAAGTGTATCACTAGCAACAAACTACTACCATCACTATTGTTTAATGTGAAACTCTTGTCTTCATCGCTACTCAAATCCATATTATTCTTCCACTTAATTTGAAGAAAACAAGCAACAAAGAGAATTTATTTAACCTATTAATAAAAAAGTGGAAAAAGGGAGAAACAAAAAAGGGTCACGAAGTAATAAAAAGAGTAAGTGGGTTTTTATAGAAAGAAAGAGTAAGAAAGTGAAAAGAAGAGAAACCCAAATAATCAATGAAAATGTAATATTATATCCATTCAAAAGACTATATTTGTGTCAATGAAAAATTAAACTTAGCTTTTTCAAAAAACAAAAATCCAAATAGCCAAATTGGATTGCAAAGAAAAGGAATCATAGTAAGAACTAAACTACATTAACGTAAGGCAAACAAGAAATCCGTGATAGCAAAAAATTTGACTGTCAAGAGCAAATATTTTATCAACTACTCTAAGAGAGGGAGAGATAGATTGACCAAGAGAGGATGGGAGGGCATAATATAAAGGTGTTCATTATTCAGAGTAAACCGTTAAATCAAACTAGAGCAAATAAAATTAAGCAATTTGAGAAATTTATTAATTTGACTTTATATGAAATGTAATCTACAAAACTATAAAATAACTCTCTTTAGTCTTTAGCTTAATTTACTTTGAGAAATTTACTATTCTCTCAACACTATTTACTTAATTAATTTTATCAAATATCGGCACTATTTACTAAATTGGGTATAATTTGATATTATGGTGCTATTGTAACTAAAGTTGAAGTTCAAGGTATTAGGAGAAAAAAGTTGGATTTAGTGTACAATTAAAACTATTTACAAAGTTTGAGATTTTTTTTTAATGATTTAGCCTCGTATACACAAATTAGCTTTGTGGTCTAAAGGGAACCTGAAATTTTAAAGAGGAGCTAAATGATGTACACAAGCTTGTTGAAAGTTTAAAGTTTGGCTGAAGAGATAGATTACAAAATTATAAGTATTCTAGATGCAATTATAAGTATGAGGAAATAACTGCAGGAATGCACAAAACTGTTATTGGGTTTATAGAGAAATTAAATGCAAAAAATGTCCGATGCGTAAATTTATCCGTGTTTTATGTAAGAAATTTTTTGGTATCTTCAACTTTTACTTTGAACTATTAACACTTTAATTTGTAAAATTTTACCAATTAAATACTTCAATTTGTAAAAATTATTCTATTGAATACTCAAACTTCTAAAATTATATCAGTTAAAAATTGATTAGATAGTTGAAAACTGTGAAAATTATTATTCCAAAAATTATACTAACCACTAATGTTCTGAGAACCAGATCGGTCATTGAACCAGCGAAGACAGGGGTTCACTGAACCGGAGGGTTCAACTGGATTTTTATTTATGATATTTTAAAATATAATTAAAAATATAAAATTTGCAAATATGTAATAATTTTTACAAAAAAAAAAAGATAAAACAATTAAATTGAAAATAAATAAAAGCTCTTTTATGTTCACTAACAAACAAAACATGTCCTTTAAATAAAAAAATTACGTCATACTACCTCTAAGCAGAACAATCAAATTGTTTCGAACATGCTAACCACACATTAAGTAAATATCTTGAACATGCATGTCAAAACACGAAAAAAATGTTATTGGTAATATAGAGAGGGATACAATTTTAACAAAATTTCAGAGACATAATAGGTCACTTGCGAAATTTGAGGTGCCATGATGATTTTTTCCGTAAAAAACGTAGATCTATTTATTCATTTGGATTGGAAACAAAAGAAGTTTGTTAGAATTAGAGAAGATCTATTAGGATTGTTTCAAAGCATTGAAATATATTTGATGAATGAGAAAGTTATGTTGCATTAACAATATATCAAAGATATGCTAGCCTAGGTGTATACCATGGTGATTTTACTTCTGTTAAATATTTGAGAGCATGCTCCAATTATAAATACTTTTACTCTGAAATATCCAAATGTTAGCCTCTTTTCAAATGACTCTTCATTTTGTGAAAATGTAAGAATAATCATATACGAGTTTAAAATAATAAATATTAAAAGGGTACCATTACTGTCAGAACGTTGCTTGTTGATGCTAGAACAATGCATCTATTAAAACAATACACTGACTATTTTGCCCCTGATATTAACCAAACCAAAAATACTTCAATAAAAATCAAGAAAATTAAATCTAAAAACGTAATGAAAAAATTGAATTTCCCATAAATCAACCTAACATGGCTAACAGATTTCCATTATTCAAGCACAAACCTGAGTACATTCAAAAAACTATTCACAGTTTTCATGTATTCAGAGAAAAAAAAAAAGACTCTAATCGTCAGAAATTTCTTAGACCGGCTTACTGCTTTTCTTTTGCGAATTGGGAGCCCTGAGCTCAACCACCAATTGCAATTTCATGTTAAGCCCCAATTTCTCTAATAGGGATGGCATGCAACGGGTTAGGTACCACATAAAATGCACTGCCCCATATCCGAACCCAATTATAAATTAAATACCCAAATCCAGATTCAAATCTATTTAGAAATTCACCTTTCCTACCTAAATTTGTCTATTTAGAAATTCACCTTTCCTACCTAAATTTGTCTGTCCCGAACCCCAGATTCAAATCCATTTAGAAATTCACCTTTCCTACCTAAATTTGTCTGTCCCGAACCCCAGATTCAAATCCATTTAGAAATTCACCTTTCCTACCTAAATTTGTCTGTCCCGAACCCCAGATTCAAATCCATTTAGAAATTCACCTTTCCTACCTAAATTTGTCTGTCCCGAACCCGGTTATAATTACCCGAATCCATTTAAATATTTGTTTAATATTAAAATCTTTTTATTTTTTAAAAACAAAAAGTAAGTAAAAATTATAAAATTATTATTAAATATAATTATAGCATTAATTTTAATAAAATGGTATATATAAAAAAAATTTCTTTATAAAAGTAAATATTTTAAATATTTTTAGAATATTAATTAAACAGGCAACGGATACTCACGTCCTTAAACTCGAACCTGATATGGATACTAAAAATACTACTGAACCCTTACCATACTCGCTTATTCACTATCCAAACTCGCCAAAATCGGTTCAGATACCCGCCGAATCGGGTAAAATTGCTATCCCTTTACAAATAAATTCAGTTTCCTTCTCTCTACTCTCTCTCTTTTTGTACATAAAGAGAAATTCCATACAAGTTAATGTGTACCAAGACTAAATCTTGAAGAAGCTCCCAGCCTATGTTCAAGATTACATGTTGGATCGAAAATGAAAATGAAAATAAAAATAAAACTCGGGAGTGAATTATCATTACTGCTTCGAAGAAGTAACATTTAACTCCTGTTTTGGCATTCACATGCCCATCTGCATATTGCAAACAATGGCTATAGTTCTCATGACGAGTACAAACCAACTCAAGCAGCCAAAATATCAAGTACAAAAATGTAACCATGATGGATTAAAACCTTTTCCAAGCATGTATAAGCCATAATCAAATCCTAAAATGTAACAATGGCCTCTCATTACCGTGAACAAATTGCAATCCCTTCTTCTTAACTCCTGATTTGATGCAGTTCACATTAGAACACTTTTCTCTTTCTCAAGTTTTTATTTTTCCATCTTCAGCCTTGCTTCTTGGCGGGGCAGCTCTGCCTGAAAGAAATAAACCATGTTTTAGAGAATATAACAGAAAATTATCTTACAAACTTACATTACAAAGACAGAAGACACCAAATTATGCAGTTTCCACAAACACAAGCAATTTTCAAGCAGCAACTTCAAACTCGTCATTGCTCTAATTTAGCAGTTACTCGACAATATGTGCAGTCATCTGCATAACCACCAAAACTAACAAAGAAGAGACATCTTTTATCATTAGCTATTCAGCACTCATGCTACCATAAAAAGCAAGTGTCATTGATTTGCTAACAGATGTCAGCCAAAGACATAGAAAACCATTATAGAAACATGCATGGCCTGTAGGAATAAAAACACTGTTGGATACATGTTGGATACTTGGAGGAGCATCTGTATGAGAAATTACTATTTAACAATTTAAGGCCAGCTCCTTTATTAACAACATAACATCTGAATTAGAAGGAATTCTCCATTACCGTAGTGACTCAGTGGCAGACATCTAGAGCACAAAGCAAACTAGGTGCTGTCTGACAAGCAAACCTGGTAGGCAACGAACAGATTTATACTTATCATTCACAATAATTAGATGCCACTATGATCAAGAAGAGAACCTTACTATAAGACAGCAGCGCATCTTTACCTGGGCACTCCGAAAGTTTATGTGGTCCCTTACAAATGAAGCATTTTATCAGTCTTGTGAATCCACCTCCTAGTGCCTTGGAATTGCTCCTTTCTTCACAAGGGTTGCTACTCTTTTTATTCTCGGGAGTTGTAGTAATGAATTTCCTTTGAGCATTTTCTCCCTTGTTAGGGCTGGAGTTGCCTTGGTCAGCTACCCCACTTGATGGTTTCGCCCATTTGCTTGGGCAATTCTCTCCACTAACTGACTGATTGAATTTCCTCTTAGAGTTGTTCCACCTATAATCCCCAAGGCTCTCTGCAGCTATCATAGCAGAATTAAGGTCTTTCACCCCCATGTTATTCAAACTTTCCTCGGCCCAAGGCTGGAGACCACACATGAAATTGAACAACTTATCTATCTCTGACATGTTCGGAATTTCCAACATGATATGGGAGAAGTTACGCACATATTCCCTGATGGAATCTGTATGTTGCAATTCAGACAATTTACGACGGGCATTATATGACACATTCGTAGGGTAGAAGGAGGATCTTAACACCTGGCAGAACTCCTCCCAAGTCTTTATAGTAATTCTTCCGCTCTTCATCTCTTTTACCTTGCCACGCCACCATAGCTTGCCATCATCAATCAAATACATGGGCACCAATTTCAATCTTTGTTCATTGGAATGATAGTTGATTGCCTCAAAATAGGCTTCAATATCGAAGAGGAAATTATCAACTTCTCGCGCATCTCGAATGCCCTTGAAGGGACTAGGTTCCGGGATCTCTATCCTTACAAAATCTTGTGTAGGTCCACTTGTATTACCTGCAGCAGCTACAAGCAAGTTCACCTTACCCTTGATCTCAGCAAATTCATTCATTATCCCAGTCACTTTTGCTAACTCAGTGCTAAAAGATTGCACCTTAGTTTGGACCTCCTCCACAATAGACTTTACATATTCACAAAAATCTTTGTGAGTGGCCTCCAACTTGCTAGGAAGGCCCTCCAACTTGGAAATTCTAGTTTCAAGACGATCGATTCTCTTGGTGGTGTTCGATGCCTCCCCACCTTGAGTGGCCAGGGCCAAAGTTAGTTGTTGCTTTGAGTGAGCAAGCTCTGATAGTGTGGTTTCAATCACCCTCAATTTTTCCTCTAACGACTCAATGCGCGTTTCCCTCAGATCGTGTTGATTAATGACAGTGTTTGATGTTGACTCTCCAACAACTTTATTGTGATTCATCAGGGTCACAATTTCATCAACACGCCTTTCCAATGCCTTAATACGTGCAGTTTTTGACATCTTACTTACCTAACAAGCACAAACTTTAGGCTTTGATATAAAAATGTCACGAGTCTTAATTTAGCCAATAAGAGGGACTGTGTGGCGCTTGCTTGGAATACCCTTAAGCAAGCCAACGAAGAAACTTAATTAATCATCTGCAAGCCAAAATATCAGGCATCAGAGAGGCACAATCTCTCAATACAAAGTAATATCGAGGCATAACAGCAAGCAAACGACATATCATATTATTAAGTAGCACAAAGCACACTAGAGCACACATTGTAGGAAAAAGGAATCATTCTCTTTGATAATGCCCTTAATCATTCTCATCCCTAAAACGCTGGATTAAACCAGCTCGCAAATACATGCAAATAATTGAACATGATAGGACTATTGAGCGCGAAATAAAACGGAAAACAAGAAAGTAGTAGGGCAAAAACAGAATAATGAACCTAGCGACGAGAGAGCTCAGCCTTCTAGCTGCTCCTGAACGAACTTGCCGATCACGAGTCCAACCAAACAAACAATCCGCTACTACAAGTCTCTGATTGAAGCTTTACTGGTAACAACAGCAGCTATACTTTGATTATGAAGTGATCTTCGTTTCGTATCGTAATCAAAGGCAACCAATTTTTCGCCCATCGTAAAGAAATAAATCGCAAGGAAACCAGTTCGCAACGAAACGAAGCTGTTTCATAATTATTTAATCTTAGAGTAAAATACTTTTATGTCCCTCAGTTATAGTTATATTAACACTTTCATCCTTTTATAATCAATAAATAGTTTTGACGTCCTAAACTATTGGTCCGTCAAATAAACGGTACTTCCATCCAATTTAAGTTGAAATCAACATTAACTTTCAATTAAAAGTGTACAGGAAGGAGGGAGAATATAATAAAATTACTGTTTTACCCTTACTTTCCTCCTACTGTCTCGATTGTCAGCGCTCGCTGTTAAAGCAATTTGTTTCCATCTTTATAATAGTCTTTGTTCCATTAAAAACCACTAAACTACTCTCTTTTTTTATACTCCAATGATGATATTGATTTTACTAAATGTTAAGGGGTGGTTTGTTTATTTTATTTATTTATTTATTTATTTTTTTGCTTCTCCATTGATTTCTTTAGTTCAGTGCTCGATTCACTGTGATATTAAGGTGTGTGAGAAGTTTTGAAAAATTGATTTCGAGTTCAAAGTAGGGATTTGGGGATCTAGTGCAAGAGACTAGCTATGAATTAGGATTATTCTTTGATTTTCACTTAAAATTATTCACATTTTCGTCTTAATTTTCCTAGCAATCGAAAGTTTCAAAATTGTTCTTACACTAACTTTGCCAAAAAATTTCGAGGAAAATTATGAAATTTTCTCAAGAAAATTCTTGTATCTGTAACTTTGGTTCTTACTTTTTACTCTATTTTTCTAGATTTTGTAGGAAAATAAGTAGGTTCTCTTAGAGATTTACCCATGGACATATCCAATTCGATTCCAAAAACTGTTTATTTTCCTCATAGTGCAAAAGCCTCATCAAATGAAGATTATGGCCTTAAAGCTTTCTCAAGAAAATTCTTGTATCTGTAACTTTGGTTCTTACTTTTTACTCTATTTTTCTAGATTTTGTAGGAAAATAAGTAGGTTCTCTTAGAGATTTACCCATGGACATATCCAATTCGATTCCAAAAACTGTTTATTTTCCTCATAGTGCAAAAGCCTCATCAAATGAAGATTATGGCCTTAAAGCTTGAAATCTCATGGTAAAGAAGTTAATAGACTATATGAGATCCAAATGAGCCTCATTAAATCAATCATACAAGATAACAAGGCTAATTTCATTTTTCTCTCATGGTTTCTCCTTGATTTTAAGAACTTCTCTACAATGGATTTAACAATTGTCTCCAAGCTTTTCCATCGTTGCTGCTCATTTGATTCTCTGGTAAGAGATGAAAACGAAATAAGATAGGTGATGATGAGTATCCAAGTGAGAGAGTTAACTTATGTATTTTCATTTTTTTAACGGCAATTTTAATTTAAAAATTGGACAAAATGACCTATTTATTTGACGGACCAATAATTTAGAAATGTTAGAGTTATTTGTTGATTATAGAAGGATGAAAATGTTAATATGACTATAATTTAGGGACCCAAAAGTATTTTACTCTTAATCTTATGATTATGTTATGCCAAATCGGATTTTATTAATTATGGGTAATTACTATTGAGTCCCTAGTTCTTTGTCAATTATCAAAATTATCTTGAAGTCCACTGGAGATAAACTCAATTTTTAAACGATTTAGGAAAATATAGACCGCCTGATTTAGGAAATTATTAGTTATTACAGAGCTTTCGAATTGGGGTGTAGGGATTAAGGGGTGCAATTGATACAAAACGCCGGGGTTTTTTAAATGAATTCCTCAAAAATAAAAAGTTGAAGGAAGCGAACGCGGTAGTGCCGATTGCTGAGCGATGAAGAAAGGCATTTCCAAAGTGAAACAATGCATAAAGCCACCGGCTTCGCTATCAAATCTTTCCCGCTTCATCTCTATCATACGGCGTCTTCCAATTTGCAAAACACATTTTCGTCCTTGCTTCATGAATTCACCCAGTTTTGCTACCAACGAAACCTACCCAGAGCAGTGCAAACCATGGACGCAATGCACAAACATGGAATTTGGGCTGATGCCACCACCTATTCTGAGCTAATCAAGTGCTGCTTGTCCCGCGGTGCAGTTCAACATGGAAAAAGCGTCCACAAGCACCTTTTCTCTGGCGGGTATCAGCCCGAAATGTTCCTTATCAACGTTTTGCTGAATATGTATGTGAAATTCAATTTGTTAGATGATGCACGAGCACTGTTCGATAAAATGCCTGAAAGAAATGTTGTTTCTTGGACTACAATGATATCAGCTTACTCTAATGCTAAGCTCAACGACAAGGCCTTGGAGTTTCTGATTTCCATGCTTAGAGAAGGTGTGAGGCCAAATATGTATACCTATTCTACCGTCTTAAGGGCATGTGAAAGGTTATCTAATCTCAGGCAGCTCCATGGTAATATCATTAAGAGTGGGTTAGAATCTGATGTCTTTGTCAGAAGTGCTCTCATTGATATTTACTCGAAATGGGGTGAATGCGAAAATGCATTGCGCATTTTCAATGAAATGGTGACAGGGGATTTAGTTGTATGGAATTCTATAATTGCTGGTTTTGCTCAAAACAGTGATGGTGATGAAGCTTTAAATCTTTTCAAGAGAATGAAGAGAGCTGGTTTTCCAGCTGATCAATCAACGTTAACGAGTGTCTTGAGAGCTTGTACTGGGTTAGCTCTTCTAGAATTGGGAAAACAAGTTCATGTTCATGTGTTCAAGTATGATCAAGATTTGATCCTTAATAATGCTCTTTTAGATATGTATTGCAAGTGTGGCAGTTTGGAAGATGCCAATTCTGTTTTCACTAGGATGGTGGAGAAGGATGTGATCTCTTGGAGTACCATGATTGCTGGATTGGCGCAAAATGGTTACAGCAGAGAGGCATTGGAGTTGTTTGAATCCATGAAGGTTTCAGGAATAAAACCAAACTATATAACAATTCTGGGAGTGCTATTTGCTTGTAGCCATGCTGGGCTTCTAGAATCTGGTTGGTATTACTTCCGATCAATGAAGAAGCTTTTCGGGGTTGATCCGGGAAGGGAACACTACGGTTGCATGATTGATCTTCTTGGAAGAGCAGGAAAACTTGAGCATGCAGTTGGGTTGATACATGAAATGGAATGTGAACCAGATGCCGTTACATGGAGAACTTTGCTTGGTGCATGTAGGGTGCACAAGAATGTGGATCTCGCCATACATGCTGCGAAACAAATTCTAAGGTTAGATCCTCAAGATGCAGGGACATACATACTTTTGTCTAACATTTATGCAAATGCTCAAAGATGGGATGATGTTGCAAAAATGAGGAAGA